CAGGAATAAAATACATGAACTCCTATTGTGTTGGGCCATGAACAGCAGACTAAAAATGTAGGTACTTTATTATATGAGTCTCAGGGAGCCACTATTTTATCCTTGCTTTAGGAAGCTAAGGAATGGCAGAAGGAAGGGAAGGAAGGTCTAGAGTGGGAGTGGCCAGAAGCCCCTGAAGAACATTTAATCAGGGCATTGCTCCTAAGGATAGATCAGTAAAATGTACATAGATGACTAAATTCTGGGTTAAACCAAACCATCTATTTACTTTTCTATCCAATTTAAAAAAAAAAATAAAGAAAGGAGGAAGCAAAGACCAAGTAAGGGAATGAACATTTTAAAAACCTTAAGGAACTTTAGTTCCTTGTTGCTAATTATAAATATTTACTCCTCCCAGAATTCCTGACCTCACAGAAGAGCCTGCGTAAATAGTCCTGCTCCCTTACTGAAAAATTAGTATGTGTGTGTGTGTGTGTGTGTGTGTCTTGGAAGGGAAGTAGGCAGTAATAAAGGACTGGATGATCTGTAAAAAGGCACTTCCTGCTGGATATTGTCTAGCTCTCATTCTCCACCCAGCACCCAGATCATAAACCCCTAGATGCTCAAACAACTCCTCCTTGCCTGATTCTATCTGTTGGAAACAACTAAGCCAAACAAACTCAGGAAGTGGCAAGAGATTGGGAAGGGGAGGAAGTTCATGGCACAGAAGAAAAAAGTAAAGAGAATACCCTGATGTTCAAGGAAGAGGGTGGGGGAGAAAGAATGAAGGTCGCTTCAAGGTCACCTGGCACCAAGCCTTTAAAATGTCGTGCATGAGTTTTAAATCAAAACTGGCACAAACAGTGGGTCAAATCTCCTGGGGCCATTCAAATATTAACATTTGCAGTGATAAACAGCCCCCCAAAAAAGTCCTCTGTAAGCAAATTGGAACAAACAACTAATCTAAAGCAGGTTGCTAAGAGACCAGTTGGACAAGAGCCAAGGTTAGTTCAAGTGTTTGGAGAATTCTTTAATTTTTTTGGCTTTCAGGAAAGAGAAGGGGAGAGGAGGCTACCTGTAGATGACTCCGTGTTGGTGGAGGAACATGAGGGCCGACGTGACCTCGGCAGCATAGAACCGTGAACGTGGCTCGTCGAATTTTCGAGAGCGCTGAATCTGAAACATGAGGTCTCCACCATTTACATATTCCATGACGAAAAAGAGGCGGTCCTGAAAGAAGAGAAGAAAATGTCATTGAGGGTATTGCATCACAGCTCCCTACACAAGCCAGCATGTTGTGAGCCCTTAGTAATCAGGGCTCAGGGAAAGAAAGGTGGGAAAATCCTGGTAACATGATCTAGAAAGAAGACAAATTAATAAAATTAGGATATCAAGTGTTACTTTGAATCTCTTGGTCTTATTATTATGGGTATCAGATTGATCTAGTGGAAGAAACCTAAATTTGATAAGATCTCAGTCTTTGATTCTATCACTAATTTGAAATACTGCCCTGGACAAGTCTCTGACCTTTTGGAGACTTCAGGTACCTTAATGTGTGTGGTAAGTTGAATAAAGGATCTCAAAGATGCCCAGGTCCTTATCCCAGGAATGTGTGAATGTTACCTTAAGTGCCAAAAAGGATTTTGCAGATATGATTAAAGATCTTGGGCTGGCTCCATCGCTTGGTGGTTAGGGCAGCCAGATTCCACATGGGCGACTGCATGGTTTGAGTTCTAGACCTGAGACTTGAGAAACACTCTGGGAACATGTGTGTACATGTGCCCACAATTCTGAAAGGAGAGGGAGGTGAAGGAGAAGGGATTGTGGTATGATCATTCCCATGGGGGGGGGGCATTTTCTCTTTTTCCTCTCTCTCTCTCTTTGGTGAGGACACACACACACACACACACACACACACACACATGCACACACACACACGAACAAAAACAAACAGAAAGACCTTGAGATGGGGAGATTATCCTGGAGTATGAGGGTGGGCCTTAAATACGATCACAAGCTTTCCTATGAGAGGAAGTCAGAGATTTGAGAAGGGAGGAGGCAGCGTGACCATGTAGCCAGAGACTGGAATGATGCAATCATAAGCAAAAGAACACTGGCAGAGAGAGGAAGGGAAGCCACATTTGATTTGGGCTCAGTGATGCTAGAGTCAGCCTTCCAGTATCCAGAACTCTATGTGAATACATTGCTTTCTTTTTTTTTTTAAGATTTATTTAATTTTACTTATTTATTATTATTTTTAAAATTTACTATAGGGCACTTGCAATTACCAGAGAGAAACAGAGAGACAGAGAAAGCAAAGTGAGAAAGCAAGCTGCCAGGTCCAGAACTTAAACCACAGTTGGTCATGTGTGAGTCTAGCACCCTAACCACCAAGCTACCTGCTGGCCTCCATTTCTATTATTTTAAGCCACCAAACTTGTGGTACTTTATTGAGACAGTTCTACAAAACTAATAGCTTGTACTATAGAATAATGACATGAGAACCCCATTTCCTGTGAGAACCACTTTTTTCTTCAGAGGATGTTCCTTCTCAGTTCCTGTGAATTTTTACCTCCAGATGCCTTCAGAATGGCCAAACCACAGTCACTTCTCATTTACGGTGGAGCCCACTTATCTGTATCCATGACAATGACGTACAGGATAGACTGAAATTCACTTTTGCAGTTTCTTGACCATTCTTTTCTCTCTCTCTCTCTCTTTTTTTTTTAATATAAGAAATTTTTGCTATAGGGCACAAGTGCTCGCCAGAAGGGGGGGGGAACAGAAAGCGAGAAATCACCCCCCAGGAGGGTTGGCCATGCCACAATCCCTTCTCCTCCATTCTCTTTTCAGGATTTTGGGCACACATGCACACATGCCCAGCATGAGTTTCAAGCCACTGGGTCTAGGACTGGAACTGTGGTCAACTAAGTGGGAGTCCAGCAACAATAACAATCATGCCATCTGCTGGTCCTTTTGATGGTAATTTCCTAAGTTCCTAGCATGTGGGTTGCTGTGGGAGGCGGGAGGCAAAGAATATCAGCCAACACTGCTCTGGTGGGTTTATAATCTGGAGTGGAGATGGGAAATGGACAGAATGATACAAAATAAAAGAGGAGCAGAGTGTATTAAAGACATCAAGAGCCGAAAGGATTCAGAGGAAGAGCAGCTCTCTGAATTGGGGACCACAGAAGATTCTAGATGAAGGTAGGCTTTAAGAGAAAGAGAAGAGGGGAGACAGGGAACAGAATTAACATCCTTAGGGACTAGTAAACTGAGCAGATCAGCTGGAGAGAAAAGTTAATAAAGAATAAGGTTTAAGAGACCAGAGGAGCAGCGATCTTCTTAACATATAGATATAGTCTAACAGAAATTTCCAGGATCATGTGAGCATACAGCTTTCCACCAAAACTGAGCAAAATATTGGTTATTCATGAAGCAGATTGCTTTGGTTTCAGTAGCTCTTTGAAAATATAAGTCCATAGTTAAGAAATGTTTCTAATTCAAACTACTTTCTCTACTGCCCCCATCCTCCAAAAATTATTCAAGCGTTACTAAGATTCACAAAGAGCCTAAGGTTTAGTTTTTCTTCCATTTGTCTTGACCTTCTCCTTGTAAGCCTGTACTCAAAAAGCTCTTGTGCTTTTTTTGAGTATAAAGTTGTACTCAAAAAAAGCACAAGAGCTGCTTTGCCAACTATTCATTCAACCATCTATTCTCTTTCAAATTTACATTCCAAAAATCAATTGCTCAGGCTAACCCCAACCCAATGAAATCAGAATCTCTGAAGTGGGACTTAAGCTATTCAAGCTACCAGGTGACCCCAATGGGTAGCCAGGGCTGGGAACCCTGGCTCTCATCTACCTGACTAATGTCAAGGCATTTGGTACCCCTGCAGTATAGAGATTATGAATTCTTCTGGTCTTCCTTTTTGCTCTTCAAGGATTCTCCCCCCCAAGAAAGCGTCCTCCAACGTGAATCAGAATCATATGGAGGCCTGTTAGAACACAGACTCCTGGGTTTCTATTCAGAAGATCTGGGGTTTATCCTGAAAACTGCATCTCTAATAAGTTATCAGGTGATACTAATGCTATTGGCCCAGGGACCATACTTTGAGGGCCCCTGCCCTAGAGCACTTACGGCAAGACTTTCCCACAGCAAGTACCCTTGCATCATTTATTTAACACTAGTCTAGACTAGCTGAACCACACTGCCAGAAACAACTGCAATACCCATTCCAGAGTCACTGACCCTAAGCCTGGGTCTTAGCAACACTGGAGTATTTCCTCAGCTGTGTTTGAAAGAATCTAAATCTTTAACTGGGGGAGAACCTCCCATCCCACCATCCTCCCTGGCTACTTTTTATTCTACCAACACTGGACACATGGAACTTAAAGATCAAGGCTATGATGTTACATAAAAGAGTTCCTGGGCCAGTCCGTGACACAGTGGTTAAGGCAACTGGATTTCACATGGTTCCAGTCCCAGGCCCAGCACCTTGAAAAACAGGCTGGGTGAGTGTATGCATGTGCCCGAAATACCAAAAGGGAAAAGCAGAGGAGACGGTATTGTGATGTGACCATTCCCCACAGGATTGAGAGGACACTCTCATTTTCCTTCTGTCATTCTCTGGTGTGAGCATATGTGTCCTCTAACAAATTTTTAAAAAATAAATAATAAGAATTCCCACCCTGACTTTATCTCTTAATGGCTGTGTGACATTAGGCAGGAGACTTCATTTCTCAGTGCTCAGCTGTCAGATCTTAAAAATGAGGAAAATAGGTCCTGTGTTACTGATATCTTATGCATTAAATTACCGGGTTGTTGGAAAAATCATGATATTTTACTACGCCCAAATGCATAGAAATATGTAAATATGCATAAAAATGCATAGAAATATGTAAAAATGCCTGGCTTGAGCATGGGGCCTCTGTGGTAGAGCTATAGTAGTTCTGTGTGCTAGATGTAGTAGACCCCATGGTGAAGTCTGGAAATGAGAACACCCAGAGGACGCAGGACCTCATGGTCTGCTGCAGTAACAGGTGTGGTGAGGGCCATCAGGTGTCCATGCAACAGGTGCACCAATATATAAAGCGCTGCTGCAACCAGCAGTTAGCATGTGTGCGTGCATGCCCAAGATCCCAAGAGGAGAATGGAGGAGCAGGGATTGCGGCATGGCCATCCCCCCTGGGGGGTGATTTCTTGCTTCCTGTCTCTCTGTCTCTCTGGCAAGTGCATGCACCCTATAGCAAAATACTCCCCCCCCCAAAAAAAAAGAGAGCAATGGGAATTTTAGTCTTTCAAGTGTCATTTATGAATGAAGAAGCAAGTTTAAAGTGTATGTCATTTGCCTCCAAACACTTTGTCTTTTAATCCTAGAAAGTGAAATGGAAAAAAATGGTGCTAAAATTTGGGTCAGTGATAGCAAGGGACAGTGTGTGAGAACCTAAAGTTCCTGTGGCATGTGCTTGTTCTGGTAGTAGGGATCTCTCTGTTATCAAGGGAGAGCCCTGCTAGGAACCAGTCTTCTTACTGCACAGGCCCCAGCAAGCTGGCAGGTTCCTCTCAGCTGACTATAATCTGGCAGAATTTGAGGAGAGGTGTTTCTATTTGTTTCCAGCCTCCTGTTTACCAGAGGTATCACCACACCATTTTTATAAGTTGTGAAACAAAATCTACAAAGACACTTAGAAGGGGGAAAAGTTCTTGGATCTTTGTTCTTACATACAAGGGCATGAAGTTGATGTAAATATGGAGCCGGTAGGGAGAGTAGTCTGGATGAGAACTTTTAAACAGTTCCTTACAGATGTGCTTTCTGGCCATCAAGATGTAGATGTGTATTTCCTGAAATTCTTACACATTGCATCTTTCAACCTGGAGACTAGGCAAAAACATGAGTTGACGACACACTGAGTGTGGGAAGCAGGGCTTTCCTCTTACTGGCTGGGGGCCTGTCTGCAGAGGCTGACAAGACAGCTTCACAGGAATACTTTCCTGTTTGTAGGAAAGGACATTTTGACTGTGATATATCCAGATATCCAAGAATGATCAAAAGAGGAACGGTTGCCTATATAATGAAGGGAGCTACGAAGTACTAGATCTGGAAATACCTGATTTTCATAGAACTGAATGGAATGGAAGTCTAAACCCAGCACAGCTTATTAGCCCTGTGAATTAACAGAGCCCTACTGAGACAATCCCCTGGCAACAAAAAGGTCAAGGGTAACAAA